CTTATAAAATAGCTTGTAAAATCCTATAATATCTTATAAATACCTTGTAAATACGTTGTAAAACCTTTTAAAATACATTGTAAAACCTTATAAATACCTTGTAAAAAACCTTTAAAATACCTTGTAAATTTTTGGCGGGAAAATTTTTCCCGCCAAAAATTTAACGCCAAAAAAATTGCGGAATCACTTTTCCCGCAAAAAAAATTTTTTGGCGGGAAAATTTTTTGGCGGGAAAAAATTTTACGGGAAAATTTTACAAGGTATTTTAAAGGTTTTACAAATTTTTACAAGTGTTTTGGCGGGAAAAATTGGGGGATCACTTTTCCCGCCAAAAAATATTTTGTATTTTGTGGACCTAATTTTGTTATATTTCCTTATATATTTATGATATCTTTTATTAAAAGAAGGGTAATTTAGTCATTTTGTACATAAAAGGGGTATTTTTAAAAATGAACATACAAAGGGGGCATTTTTGAAAAGGGGTATTGAAAAAGGGGCATTTTTGTGAGTCTCCCTTATTTTTTTAATATGGATGTATAATGAATGTTGAGAATACATTTTTCCTAACAAGATGCAGATTAAGTAGATAAACAAATAGATATTCCCTGATTTTTCAAGCGATTGAAAATTAAAAAGTAACTATAGTTCTTCGAGAATCGATAACTATAAAGCATCAAGTCAATGAACGTGTAAATTGTTATATATTATGAAGAATCATATCAAACACTAAAATATTTGACTATAAAAATGTACAATACTATTTATTGCTTAACAATGCAAGTAATGTAGTGAATTGATGAACCTAATTTTAATCCATTATTTACAATAAGAGTACATCTAGACCGTTTTGTTTTTTTCTTGATTCAAGTAGTTTCACTTTTGGAGATCTCTGTTTCTTCGCCAAAGTTGAAATTAAAAAATATAAAACTATATTATCAGATATTCAAATGCATGCTAAATAAATAATTATATATATATATATATATATAATAGATTCAAAATTAAAAGTGTAACATAAGGAAAACTGAAAATTGAAATTATTACTTAATGGCTGCTGATAGAAATATGGTACCTTTTTTAGTCCTAACACTTGTCAAGAAAAAAGGTTCATCTAATCAGTTTTCTTTTCTAAACACTATATTTTTACCAGAAACATGTCGGCAAAAAAAATTAAAGATTCTACATTATTATTAGAAAAAAAAAAATGAACGGTGAATAGAGCTTAGGAAGAGACATGAGAGAATGAAGAGAACTCTATATATTCATTTTCAAAGGGACTTTTTTTTTTTTTTTGGTAAAAGTTCAAAAAAACTTTTTTGAAAAAGGCAAAGGGACCAAAGAGACCCCAAAACATTTTTGACAAATTTGCCTCTATTATATGCTTTGACACAACACTCTCCAAACTTCTGTCACTCTCTTTGATCACTCTTATACCCATTACTCCATTGCCTTCCACATTTATACATTATTAGGTATCGATATACGATTTGATAACCGTAGTTCATTTTTATTTTAAAAATATTTAGAAGAAGAAATGATCATGAGTTTTTATAGTTCATTTCGAATTTCTAAAAAATATTGTTTAGAAGAAGAAATGAGTTTTTTTTTTTTTAATTATAGTTCGAATATACATTAAAAGAAACAATTGATGCATTTCACATATATTATGATCGGTAAGTCTTGAATCTATAAAGATTAAGCATCGAAACTATAGGCTTTAAGGAGAGACCATAATCAACTACACAATGATTAATTAATTAATTTAGGAGTCACTTGAAACTTATGATAAACAAAACCACGTTGTAGGAGTAAGTATGATATGGTTTTGGGGCATCGACCTACACTTATACACGTAATGTGCAGTGTATATAAGCATAAATATCCACTTTACATTGCATATGTAACTCATTAAGTCAAAGTGGTGTTGGGTCGATTTGTTGTGTATGTGAGTAAGTTACAAATATTTGGACAAAATAATTTTCTTCTTCTGCTAGTCCATAACAAGAATTCAAGATTTGTTTTTTTTTTGATATTCTTATTGGAACATAAAAAAATCATTTATACGTAGTGGCTATTGAGTTTTAGATCATTTTTCTATTGTAGGGATGATTGGAATATTCCTAATATGTTGGTTGTCTTGTCATAATCAAACCATATATATATTGCTATTAAGTTATATATGCATCTCACTACAATGTTTAAGGAAAATTAGTCAAATATACACAAATGAATGAAACACAATTGTCCGATTCTGTATTTATGGATCTTTTTCCATTAATATATGATCATGAATTGTTTTTACCTATTTTGTGTTCTAAGAGCATAATACAGTTTTGTCAGCATTTTTTATTTTTTTATGTGGAAACTATAAGTTTCAGGATAGAGGTGACATGTGACTTTAAAGGTTATGAATGTGAAGAGAGGCGGAGTGATATTTTGTTTGCAGTTGTGGGCTTTAGTAAACAAAATCAATTAGTCTGCATGAGGATCATTTACAATGCAAAACTGTGTTCCACCTAGGCCTGGGCAAAATACCCGGAACCGAATACCCGAACCGAAAAACCCGAAAAATACCCGAACCGAACCCGAACCCGATTTTTAAAAATACCCGAATGGGTCCTAACCTCCTACCCGAAAAAAACCCGAACCGAACCCGAACCGAATCCAATACCCGAATGTACCCGAATACAAATATACACCTAAAAATATTAGTTATATTTATATTTATAATACCCGAAATACCTAAAATTACAATCATAAATCCGAATATATTAGGTATTTTTGAGTAATTCGGATACATTTGGATATATTTGGTTAAAAAGTAACTAATGATGTAGTTTTCTTTTGGGTAATTTTAGTATTTTTAGATATTTTTGGTTATATTTAGATAAAGAGTAACCAATGTATTTTTGAGAAATCGGGTATTTCGGTTAGATTTGGGTATATATGAGTTAAAAACCCGAACCCGACCCGAACCCGAAAATATTTTGGGTATTTTTGGTTATTTTCGGGTATTTTGTATTTTTATTAAAATACCCGAACCGAACCCGAACCCGAACCGAACCCGAACCAAATTTTTAGAATATCCGAATGGGTCTTGACCCCCTACCCGAATAGACCCGATACCCGAAAAAAAAGAACCGAACCCGAACGGGTACCCGAATGCCCAGGCCTAGTTCCACCCATGACTCATTCCTTTAATTGGTTAATCTTCCATTTGGTAACTATATTCTTGTGGTATATAAAGGGTTTATTGCTTTAAGAGTTATCGAAAACAATAAGAACTACCAAACCAAAAACGATATTTTCAGTTTTTTTATTTGATTTACTGTTATCTTTTACCGCGATTTAGATAATAATTCGTCTAGATAAAAACTAAGATTTATAATTAGTTAACTAGAGATCCATGAAAATTTAGTAGTACTACGCCATTGATTCACCATCATGGTTTTTGCTGATAAAAAGACAAAACAAAACGAAAAATACTGTCTTGCTCCTGAGTGCCCACTTTGAAGTGGATTCTTTGGACTATTTTTGTTATTATACAACTTCCCTTTCACATGATATCAATTACCTAAATTAATTAATTCTAAAAGCACATTAATAATTTAACATTTACACATTAGATTAACCTGACCAATGAAGTATGAACCGTTCTAACTTCTAAATATTTAAAACATTTGATGACAGCATCTAATCTTTATTAATCATAGAAATTAAATTATGGAAATAAAAGTACTGATTACTTTAGTTTAAATGGTCTTATTACTATATGTTGCTTTCTACTAATTATTTTTTTGTTTTAAAAAGTATTATATTTACATTTTCAATAAAAGAGATTCGATAAACTCAACTAAAACATTGTATAGAGTACTTTATTAGTTAGAAAGATAAATTACTTGAGTTTAAATTGAAAAATGATGTTGTATTAATTAAATAATAAATTAGACAGTATCTTGAGTTTTTTAAAAAAAATCTGAAAACTCATGTTGCACTGATAATTTATAACTCTTAGCTAATTAAACTAATTAATAATTAACATAAGACAAAATTATTTCTTACTTAAAATATACATATAGACAGAACAGAACAACAACATACGAGGAACTTGAAATTTTGGCCTCGTTCATAATAAAAAAATTGCATAATCACAAAATTACTTCTATACTGGCAAAAACAAGTAATTTTAATTGAAATATAAAATGTTTTATTTATTAATTATACTTAGCCGTAGAAGCCTGTTTGGCTCCAAATCGCGTCGCGGACGCGCCTTAGTTCTCTGCCTTTGAGAGTCCTTCCGACGCCTTCAAACACCGACGCGCCACCACCGCCTCCACCTCGGATCTTCCTGCTCCGCCGTGCTTGACTCTTAGCAAGGTACTCGTGCGGCGGCATCATCCCGGATTCCTCATCCTCTTCATCATCAACGTCTAACTCGTGTATTGACTCAACCGAGTCCACTCGGTATATCTTACTCCAGTCCGGTACGTTTACCGGCGCCGACGACGCCAATTTTCGCCGGACTTCTTCTCCCTCACCTCCTCCGCCGTGGAACTTCTGCACTAGCATCGGCGACGACGACGGCGGCGCGGCCAAAGCGCCCTCGAAAGCCATCGACAATCCTCCCACGCGTCCGTTTTTTCCCAAGGTAGCGCGTAAGTTCCACGCGCCGTATGATTCGTCTGTCTCGGAAGTGTCGTGAATGACGGCCGGTGACCAGATGTCTTCCTCAGCGAGCTCTAATTCGTCGGTGACGGAGTTACCATGACTGTCACCGTAACTGTAACTTCCAAGGTATCGATCGCTCCGGTTCATCGTCGTCGGGTTTCGGCCTTTTGCCATGCAACAACTTCACCCTCTTCTTTAATCTCTAAACTAATCACTGATTAATAATTCAATTAAATGACCATAAAATGTTACCATTAATTATTAGAGATTTTGCTATAAGGTTCACACCGAGGGAAATGGAGGAGTATATATAGCATCTCTGAAGAGAAGAGTACAAAAGAATGTGATACAATAAAGAAAATAAAAATTCTTATATTGGTACCAACATATCAATTTCTTACAAATGGATCCCTACATTTATTATTGAGTTTAAGAACCCAAAATTTCGTCTTTTTCCCAAAAAAAACATTTATATTCTTGATTGACAAAAAAAAAAACATTTATATTCTTGGATGATCTTATAGCCACATCCAGTTAAATTAAAAAAAGATAAATCAAGTTAGAATGCAATGTTTTTTTTTTTTTGATGGCAAGGATTTATTCTAATTAACTCGAATACTATATATGTAAGTGTCTTTTCTAACATTTGTAAATTTTAAAACAAATGAATAGAAACGTTAGATACAAAATGAAATAATTTGAAATTCTAATATGTTTTACGTGGATTGCTATTAGGGGCAAATGAAATCTATTATATTTTAATTTTCTTATCCAAAATTAAATTGAAATTATAAAACGACCTTAAAAAAAAAAAGAGTTGGTCTAAATATTTATTTATTTCAGGAAATTCAAATTGTAGCATTCACAAACTTAAAGAATAAATATTTTAGTATTGATTTGAAATCAAGTGTAATATGTTAAATTTGGACTAATTTTGGGTTTCTAACTAAAAACCAATTGGCAATTAGTGGATTGGCCATAACCCTTTATATATTATTAATTGTCCCATCAAACTTCCGATGTGGGACTTGGATTGTATCTCCAACAATCTCACCTTCAATCCAAGGACCACATGGATCTTAACACACCTCCTCGATCCCTCACTCGGACCGATAATAAGCCCCTTTCTCGGGCCCCCATTACTCGGGTTTGAGGTATGTCCGTATCCACTTTTCTAGGTCCACCAGAATTTGAACCTTGGGCTCTGATACTATGTTAAATTTGGGCTAATTTTGAGCTTCTAACTAAAAACCAATTGACAATTAGTGGATTGGCCATAACCCTTTATATATTATTAATTGTCCCATCAAACTTCCGATGTGGGACTTGGATTGTATCTCCAACATAATAAAACTAATGTAAATGTGAAGTTGAGCATTTTAAATTTGTAGTTATTTTCTGATATTAAAAAATTCGTGGGAGGAATACTTTGTTCAATAAATGTCCTTAATATTCGGTCATCTTATACTAAGAAAACGAATTTTCATATCGACCATCTGTTTTATATTTTGGTCAAATCAAAAGAGGAATCTAAGTGACTATGTCACTTTGATAAGAAGGTGAAGGACCTTTCATAACGCAATAAAAACGCCGATGAGTTAACGGGAATTTGTCAAAAATAAACACAAACACAAGCACGATTAGCTATTATATTTTGATATTTTCGGCATCTTAATTCTTGTCTTAATTTTGTGGATATTATGAATGATCTTGTCATTACTCATAAACCCTATATAAGGCTCTCTTCGTAATCGTTTGCATGTCACTAGCGATAGATTCCAGCGAGAAAATTCACACGTATCTGTTTAAAGATCACACAAAATTATTGGGGAATTCTAAGAAATTAACTTTGTCAAGAAAAAAAAATCTGAGAAATTATGGTGAACCACATAACGGGCTCACGTCGGCCCGTGTTTCAATGTTTGTCACTACAAAGTTTCTAGAAAATAGTGTAATTATCAACTTGCCAAATTGGGGAAAAAAATGAGAACAGTTTTGGTTAGAAAAAACAAGTAATTGTGTATGCTAACTAAAAAAAAATCAATATTATGTATAACCAGACTATCTTAAGTAGATTCTAAAAAGAATGTTTTTTGTTGTTGTTTTTTTTTTTTTTGATAAATATTTGTTTCTTTTATCAATTGTCTAAACTAGTTTCACATTCGCATTATTTCTCATATGTGATTGCATTTATAATCTACAAAAAGAATGTGAGCTTTTAGGAAATTTTAGAGATTACGAGATTGGTTCAAACATGACTCATTGCAACATATACATTGGTCCGTTATGGCGAAAGAGAATAAAATAGTAAAAGAGAGTATATAGGATTCTAGGATTAAAGCCAACTAAACAAACTATATGTTGAATGATTTGGCATTAGCAGATTATATGAGATTACAATATCACAAACATTAATTTACATTATTGTCACTCAATCATGAATCAGTATTTAGTGAAATAGTAGTTAATTAAAAGTGAATAAGCCATTTGAGTTTGTATTAATGGAATTATTGAATAACAAAAGCAAGAGTGTCCACTTGTAAAATTCTGCGACGTACTCTGTACAAAAAGATGGGTCACATTGAACGGCTGAGAATGAGAAACAAGACTACAAGAGTATCAGACAGGTTTTAGTAAATGTAGCAGTTACAACTTACAAACTTACACCCACAATATATATATATATATATATATATATATATATATATATTATATTTATATCTAAGAATATGCATAAATTTATATATATATATTTATATATTTACACCCACAATATATATATATATATTATATATTTATATCTAAGAATATGCATAAATTTATATATATATTTATATATTTACACCCACAATATATATATATTTATATATTATAAATTTATAATAAGTTCGAATAGCAACACAATAATATTAACACAAACGATTAAACTACAAATCTTACTCACTTACATAAACCGAAGAACAACCATCTATTTACATGTGTGCAACGATTCAGTTTACATTATTCAATTTGTCAATGTATCTTAATTTTTAATTTTCTTATATATATATTTTTATCTTTTGTTATATAAGGGACTACATTTTAATGTGATTTTTTTGGTGTCAGTGTATACTTGTCTTTTTGTGAGATGAAATGAAACGGTCAGTGTGTTGTTATCACTCAATGTCCCACAATGATATGGCCCACCACATCAAGGGAAATTATGGCATTATTATTTTATATTTATATACTCCTTCCGTTTCGTTTTACTCGTCGTTTCAAAGTTAAAATTTTGTTTCATAATAGTTGTCTTTGTAGGTTTTCGATGCAAATATTTGGTGAAAACTTCAGTTTTATCCTTACTGTTTTAATGTTTCGGCCAATGAATTTTTTTATAAAATATATTAATAAAGGGTAAAACAGAAAATTTAATATTTTTCTTAATTTGTGTGAGAAAACCTTAAACGACAACTAAAACGAAACGGAGGTAGTAGTATATTTTTCTCTCCTCATAGTTTTTTTTTTTTTCTTGATTGATAAACTTCTCCTCATAGTTCATAGTTGTATTGATATTTGTTATAGATTGTAGTTATATTAAAAAAAATTTAACAAATACAGCGTATAAGTGCATATGATTCAATAGTAAATACTCTTACGCTTAGAAAGGAGAAGTGTATCAAGCGGTGCATATCAAACAAATCAAAATCAAATGTATCAATTAGATCAGACTAAAAGTTATAGATCAAGGTTTAAATAGTAAAAATACAAAAAAGAGTATGTAGCAAAAAATTTAGATAAAAATAATTTTCAAAATAATGTAAATATTATAATAAATTTTATTAGATTTTAAATGGACATATAATTTTTCATTTTTAGAATATGCAATTCTATAATGATATAATTAACTCATTTTAAAATTGCTATGATATTTTATCTATAAATAAAAATTCACTTGTTGAATTTTTGTTATTATTATTATAACTACAGTATTTAATATTTTATGTACTTAACAAAATCAGCTCTTATGTAATGATTTGATCAAATAACATATTACTTTTGAAAGAAAAAAAGAAAAGCATAGGGATATATCCTAGTCTCTCTACCTTGTATTGCTTTATTCATTAATAGTCGTCATTTTAAATCACAAAGTGGGTGCAACTAATAAAAAGACACCACCTTCTATAAATAATTTCTAGTGGCCTAGAAAAGATAAGGGATTCTATATGAATTTTGTTTTCATGTTATTATTAGTATACCATCACGAGTGACCTGCAAACATAACTGAATATATATATATTCATTTTTTCTCATGAACTTTAATGTCTAACTATATTAAGTGCGAACAAAGAAACACCGTAGTATGATATTAAAGTACTTTACGCGCGAATCCTTTATTAATTTACAATGTTAGCTTAGTTTAGATGGCCAAATAAAGCTCACTAATCCCACTATTTTAGTTCAATGTATGAATGATTCCTTTAATGATTACACCTTTTATTATTTTTAAGACGAGTTTAGTTAATTTTTTTTTTTACACCAAAATAAAAACATCCATTTAAGCTAGAAACCGGCAGTTTTCTTCGAGAGAAAACCAATCCGGTGTTGAGGAACTTACATGGAAAAAAATAGAATCACGTGCTCTTGCCTTCTTATCAAGACAATCGGCAGAGACATTGTTTAAACGTGGAATAAAATCTAAGGAAAACGAGGGAAAAAACATTTTAAGACATTAAATCTTCTAACTCCGAAGTAAAAGCGGACCACTCATCTGGAGTGTCCAAAAGCTGAGTCAACTCTTTGCAATATGTCTCAAAAGCAACATTAAAGATGGATAATGACTTGAGGGAGCGCATTGCCCAAAGAAGTGCTTCAAATTCTGTGTGAAGTGGGGATAAACATTTTCGGAGACACTTGAGTCCAAGATTAGAAATTTGACGATCTGAGAATCCACCCAATGCCGCTTAAGGTGGCTGAGTCTGTCCAAGAGCCATCAACTTGACAAATCGAAAGGTCTAAACTAGTGGATCGCGAACCTAGATCTATAAAGGGCGGTTGAGAATTGATAATCGATTCTCTGGCTCTTGCGATGCGAAAGGACTCTGCTTCTTTGTAGACAAGTTACTTTATTTAAATTTTCCAAAACTAAAATTTAAAGAAGACTCATGATAAAAATTAGTGATATATATGCTACGTCTTTTACCATTTTCACTAACATGGTTCATTTCTAAACATTTGATAGTCGTAGCATTTATTGCTATTTCTCTTTGACAATCGAAGATCTTTAATCGAAACTCAAACTAATCCTATTTAAAATATCTCTAATAGCAACCCATAAAACACAAAAAAAAATAATAAGTCAAACTCTAGTCGACTAGTCTTTTAATTTAGTTTACATAATGAAGTTTTTAATGATTGGAATACCATGAAATTTTTTTGCTATCTTGTAGGCTAAAATATTGGTTGTCAAGAAGTATAAAACAAGAATGCTTGGCCATGTGCAAAGCCGTAAGGCCGGCCAAGATTGGATCTGTAGATTCCATCGATCATTCGCCAACCATAAAACAAACAAACTTAGGGATCACATATTGTATGTATGCATGAGAAACATACAAAATAAATAATAGAGATGAATAATTTGATTTTCTGATAAAGACTAAAGTGTACTCCACGAATTAAGAAAAAGACATCTTTAAGGAAGAAAAGAAGACATCCAACAAAGGTGGAACCCGTGAGACCGATCGGTAATTTGCCATTTTCTGTGTCTCAGATTGACAACATAGCTTAAAACCTACCTGGCCCTGGCCCAAGAATATTTAGGTCAATGATCCATCACATTTACTAGCCATGTCCATTAGTATACTGGTCGTTTTGAATTGGATCTGAAAAAAATATGAACATTTTTTTATCAGATTCTTTAGGTTTTGGGGTTTTCTCTGCCAACCATAGCCCCAAATATTTTTGTTTGATCGATTTAAATTTTGCTTTTTATTTTGTCAAGAAAAGATCTATAAAAAAAATGTTTCGAAAATCCAAACCAGAACGAATTCTAGCACTAAGTCTACGAGTGTCTGAATCGTTGGTGTCTCAACATTTTACATTTGGAATCTTCGCATATACTCCTTTTTATTGCTATTCAAGTGGAAAAAAAAAAACTCTTTTTTTGTTATAGCATTAAGAAGAATGGAGACCCCTTTTAGCATTATGTTGATTATCATAAAGCATAAGATTAAATTCGATTTTTAATTCTTTTGATATTATGAAAGTAAATGGTTGCTCTTCGGCTCATTTTAGGGTTTATTTGGAAAATACTCAAATAGTACGTTTTTGGAACATACTACTTTTTAATACTTTTTAATTCAAATATCTCATGAAATATGAAGATGAAACGAAAACATATGTGACTGTTACAATTAATTTTTATAAGCCAGAAAAAGAATGACAAGATCTTCGGTCACTCACAACCTATGTATGTCCCCAAAAGAATAAGAATCTCAACTGTGATAAAAGAAATCCAGTCAATCTAATTTAATAGAATAATGAGATCACTAATACATAATTATTGTTATTATTACTATTTTTCCAAAATTGTTATTATTTTTAATATTAGTCCTATATCCACACACAAAAAAAAAAAAAACTAAAAAAAAACTAAAAATTAGAAGAGCAACCGGTAAAGAGGAAGAGAATGATAAAATTGAAATGGTGAATAACAATAATAATGTAGAAGATCTAAAGATGTATAAATTTACATTAATATATTAATATAATAATGAATTGAATAAATGAAATCTTTTACTTAATTTGTTTTTTTTTTCAGTTAACATGTATGGGATAATGAATTTATCTGATTTGTCAAAACCCTAAAGAAAATTAAAGATGATAATAATTTGGTGATGTGACAAAAAAAAACAAGAAAGAAAATTGGTTCTTTTATTATCACCGTCGTTATTCGAACGTGGGCCTTGTAAGCCCATTAATAGTCCATCATTATGATCTGGATCCCTCTTTAATCTTATCTCCTAAAGCAGCAAGCACGGTTCCGCTGGGCTCACGTGGCCATACCCTACGGCCTACGCCTTAAGCATAGTCACGTGCCCATTAGTGATCCATTTCTTTAGCACGACGAAACTATCAGAAAGTAAAAAAATTCAATAAATACATATGAAATTTAATTATTTATATGAAATTTAATAAATATGAAATTTAATTTACAGTTTTTTGGTCAACTGTAATTTACCGATTATTTTGGGTTTATCTTATTTTATCTGTAACACGACCTATTGTAGAAAATTTCCCACTTAAAAAAGTTGATTTTTTTTTTTACTTAAGCTTGTGAAATAAATTAACTTTAGAATAATCGTGTATGACTTTTGCCCATAACTCTATTATAATACAAGTAGATCCTAAAACGTCTGAAATTAATACGAACACAATTCATTCACTAATTCACTTTTGTACTTCGTAGAATCGATCGATTTATTATACTTGTTACATGCTTTAAAATTATGGACCAAAAAGTATAAAATTATGGACAAGGAATTGAAAATTATGGGCAAGAAAGTAAAAACTTTTCTAATGTCACAACATATTTAGTTGAATTAAATACGACCACAATAATAGCCTTACTTATTATTATATCACACATCTTTCATGTCCCCAAGTCGCGAAGTTATAAATGCTATCCAATATTCTCAATTTTGGACCGGTTTAAACCACAGACTTAATAATAACAGCTCCAACGGTTTGGTTCTGTTTATTTATTTCTCGGTACGATGAACATTCAATCCAGCTGAATTATAGTAGCTTCTAGCTACAATAAAATTAATTTTCGATCCGTTTTAATTTTATTTTTTTGTTGGTCAATTTGTCTTATTTTAGAGAATTTTACTTAGCAGTACAACTTATTATAGGCTAAACAACAATCACAAAAGAAAAAAACCAAACTTATAACACACAATTATACTTACATTGATAAAAGGAACAAAACAAAACTTATAATACAAAACTAAATAATTTGGTGTCATCTCAAAAGTTTAAATTCCTATAAAATTACGACATTCTCAATTTTTAGATAAAAATGGATTAGGGATATTTTTATGTTTTCATCTCCGACTAAAATAACAACAAAAACATACTCTAAACAAAACAAGCAAATTACAAAAATATTAAACACTAGTATTATTCCCGTACTCCGTACGGGGCAAAACTTTAATCAAATTTATTAAATTTTTACATGATAAAAGTTGTAGGAAATAGCAAGGAAGAAAGAGATTTGTAAGGTTTTTGTATGAAATAATGTTGTTGTTCTATTGTTGAAGAAGAGAGGCATAGAGGAGATATTGAGACGGGGGAGGGGTAAAGAGGAGAAACAGTTGCAAGGAGATTTATTTTATTTTTTTTGGTCGAATAGCAAAAGTTTAATTGTTTAGAAATTTTAGAAATCTGAAAGTGTAAAAATTGAGACTTAGGACAAGTGTCGGATGGAGAAGGTTGCAGTTTTTTTAGAATTGACTTGTGAAGAGGAGAAACAGTTGCAAGGAGATTTATTTTATTTTTTTGGGTCGAATAGCAAAAGTTTAATTGTTTAGAAATTTTAGAAATCTAAAAGTGTAAAAATTGAGACTTAGGACAGGTGTCGGATGGAGAGGGTTGCAGTTTTTTTAGAATTGACTTGTGATTTATTATATAAAGATAAAGATTCTAACATAATCGATTCCAATTTTGTAATTAACTAAATTGTAGGATACCAACAAACCAAATATCTCATTCGGTTTATTTGGATAAATCAGAACCCGGTTAAGATTCCGGTTCCGGTCTGGTTTTGGTTTTGTTTAATTTCCACGATAGAGGAAAGAGTGAGAGAGAGAGAGAAAAAGGTGGGGGAAATTTAATGGAGGAGTAATAAATGCTCTCAAGCGCTCTCTCTTCCCTTCTCTTCTTCCACAACAGACTGTGTTCATTGCTCGTGGGGTCTCTCTCTCCTCTCTATCTCTCTCTTTCTCTGTGAAGACGAAGACAGCTGTTTCTGAGTTTCCCTTTTGTTTTTGTGTCTATCTTCTTCTCAACCAAGTTTTTTTGTGTCCAAAATCTCGCAAAGAAACGCCTTTCTCTTCTTCATCCTTAGATTTCTCGGACTTTCTTTTACTAGTGGGAAAAAGACAGAATCTCAAAAAAAGTCCTAACTTGTCCAAAGTCCAAAGCTTTTGAAAGAGACCATAAAAGCAGTGCTTAATCTTCCTCTGTCTCTGTCTGTGTCTCTCTCTCTTTTGGGGGTTTGAGGAAAGGAGAAGAAAATGACGAGAGGAGCTGAATTTGAGATGGGTTTCTTAGTGATTCTTCAATCCATGTTTCTGATGTCTCTATGTGAGTTTTTTTCCTTAATTTGGGGGTTTTAAAGGGAAAAGGAATTCTCTGTTTCTAATTCTGTTTCTGTTTGATAGAAAAGTTCGTTTCTTTCGTTGAGATTTCGCTTGTTTTGGAACAATTTACTAGTTTATTGTGATGGGTTATTGTAAATTTATCTTCTTTATGTAGAAATTAGTCGAATTTCTAGTGAAATGTTGAACTAAGCTGGGGTTTAGAAGCTTCATGGTGTTTAGGTTACTTAGATTAGGGTTTTGGTTTAGTTAACGAATTAGGTTTCTTTCTTCAGAGACCAAAATTGTATAGAAAAAGTTTGATGATTTTGGTATCTTATTGGTTTAGGTTCATCAGAGGAGTTCTTACCTGAGATATCACCAGATACTTCTCCTCAACCATTTCTTCCCTTTATTGCCCCTTCTCCAATGGTTCCATACATAAACAGTACCATGCCGAAACTATCGGGTTTGTTCTTGTTTTAACTTGATCACATTTCTCTTTTAGTAATTTGCCTTTGGTGTACTAATCGGTATCAGTTTTTCGGGTATCTTCAGGGCTTTGTTCGCTTAATTTCAGTGCGTCTGAGAGTTTGATTCAGACAACTTCACACAACTGTTGGACTGTGTTTGCTCCATTGTTGGCAAATGTGATGTGTTGTCCTCAGCTAGATGCTACACTCACGATAATCCTTGGGAAAGCGAGCAAAGAAACCGGTATGCTTGCGCTAAATAGAACCCAGTCTAAGCACTGTCTCTCGGATTTAGAGCAAATCTTGGTAGGCAAAGGCGCTTCGGGTCAGCTTAATAAGATCTGTTCTATTCACTCGTCGAATCTCACTTCTTCGTCGTGCCCTGTTATCAATGTCGATGAGTTTGAAAGCACGGTGGATACAGCGAAACTTCTTCTGGCCTGTGAAAAAATCGATCCTGTGAAGGAATGTTGCGAAGAGGCTTGCCAAAATGCGATACTCGATGCTGCTACGAATATATCTCTTAAAGCATCAGAAACTTTAACTGATAATTCAGATAGGATCAATGATTGCAAGAACGTAGTAAACCGCTGGCTTGCTACTAAACTTGACCCTTCTCGGGTTAAGGAAACTCTCAGAGGCTTAGCAAACTGCAAAATCAATAGAGGTAAAAACAATAGATGTAACATTTAACTTTCCGTTTTGGGTAAACATGTCACATTTTTGTGTCTATTGGTTTCAGTTTGTCCTCTTGTCTTTCCGCACATGAGGCATATTGGTGGTAACTGCAGCAACGAGTTGAGTAACCACACGGGTTGTTGCCGTGCAATGGAAAGTTATGTGTCTCACTTGCAAAAGCAAACACTTATAACCAATTTGCAAGCTTTAGATTGCGCGACCAGCCTTGGCATAAAGCTACAGAAACTTAACATCACTAAGAATATCTTCAGCGTTTGTCATATAAGTCTCAAGGACTTCTCTCTTCAAGGTTTCTACTTTATACTTTTTTTTTATGTCCCTCCTTAAATTTTCAAGATATGTCTCTAACTCTGTTCTGTTTATTTTTCGTGCTTGATGATGCATCATGGTTGGATTCAAACAGTTGGAAACCAAGGTATAAATTAATTTCCTCGATTTTCATATCTATATTCATCATCACGAAAACCCGAAAACCATTTTGTTAACTTGAATATTTTGTTCTTTTTGGTGTAAAGAATCTGGCTGTCTATTACCAAGCTTACCATCTGATGCGATATTTGATAAAGACACGGGAATAAGCTTTACTTGTGACCTCAACGACAACATTCCCGCTCCATGGCCTTCATCTTCTCAATCCTCAGCATCTGCTTGTAAAAAACGTGTGTGGTTATCGTATTTATCTTCTTGATTTCTGACATTTTACTCTCTTTTTGTTAACTTTCATTCTTTTTCTTTTTGGTTCTTTTTCAGCTGTTAGAATTCCTGCTCTCCCGGCTGCTGCCTCCTCGCAACCCCGTAAGTTTTTCCCATCTCACATATTTCACGAAAAGAACTTTTAACGGTTCTTCCGAAATCCGATATGTGTATTCTCTTTTGATCTCTCAGGTCTCTACGATGAAGGAGTGACACGTTTGGTGATCTCTGTCTTGTCTATGGTTCTTGTGATGCTTCTGTTATAGTAGAACTAAACCGGATCCAGTCTTCTCTCTACCGGTTTACTAGTCAATAGGTGTTTGCGTAGATCAAACCGGTATAGTCGCTGCAGAAGTCGTATGTTGACATGACCGGTTCAAGTGTTTGAGTTGTTGAGTTATAAGTTTTCGGAAAGTCTTTTATCTTTTATTGATTCATGATTCTTGAAAACCTTTTTAATGTAAAGAAAAGGTATTGTAGGGTTTATATGTAAGCTTATTATATATTTATTTATAGACTGTCGATTTCGTAATTCAAAAGTGTTACTTAAATAATTTGTCTATCCAGCCGTTTAGATGCTTAGAAATTTCGAAGGCTGTTTTTCTCTCAACCATTTTATTGTCACATTTTTTTTGTTTCATTATCGATATCTAAGTGACGAAATCGATTTTAAATGGTAGTCTTCTAGGCAATGATATACGAGTACAGGCATCCATGTTTCTTAGCATCTTCCAAGACCCACAATTCAGATGTTGTGTGTAAAATTCATAGGATAGGTTACTTTCACTTTATAGATTACCAAAGATTGATGGTGATGGTTTAACAAAGATGGACCCGTAAAATTGTACTCCTTGACCAAACTGTATAGATCTCACATCCTATCTCACTAACCACCAATCACTCATCCTAGTGCATGTGAAAGCACCACAATGCACACATGACACACCATTAGTTTTGGGATGGTGATGAATGTTACATTTTTTTTTGTGTGTAGAATAGTGTGATAAGGCTGTGATCAATGTTACATTCAATCATCCAGCATGACTTACCAACTTAGTGTACTAACGTATATGATTATTGTGATCCTTCCTCCTTTAACCTTCTCACATTTTGGATGACTTTTACAAGTTCTTTTTAAACTAAAATGTCATTTACATATAGATTTGGGGTCTATGTGCAATAATTTTTAGCAACTGGATAGTCTAATATGTTAGCACAATAGTGATTATATGTTTTTAGCACCTTATACAAAAAATATATGATCAAATTGTTATAGAAATTTGGTATCTTCGCCATCTTTAAAAAAATATATCAATCACCACTAAATATTTACCGTTTTTCTCTTTAGATATTTACTTTCAATTTTAAAAAATATTTTAAAAGTTAATGTTATAAGAAAAAGCAATTCAATATTATAATTCTTTATAAATATGTACGGAACAACTACAGTAAAAATATGGTGCGGTTTTAGTACTAACAAAATATATATTTATTGGAATTGCCATGCATGTCCCGTTTGGTTCGGTTATTCGTAAGTTCTTTGTAAGATATTACAAACTTTAAGTAGATGATGGCTGCATGGCATTGATTTTTATGTCGACCAGGACCACTAGACTATATGTTATGGTCCACAACTTTCAATATATTTGATATAAGTATTTGTTAATTGTTTATGAGTTATTGGGTTATCTTATATTCTCGGTTACTAGGATTTAATTAACTTAAAACTTGTTTTTTTTTTTTTTTTTTTTTACTCTTATGGATTGAAAAAATGTTTCGTATTTCTGATATTAAAGAAAAGAAGAATGAAATCAACAGTTTACAGAATGAGATTGATCATTTTAGTGATCAAGAGATTATAATGCCTCGAATGATGGTTGATAACTCCACCCTCGCAGCATGCGACAATGGCACCCACGACATCGTTGGTCACCCAGCACATGCCCTAAGATGGGCCGGACAACAAGTGCACACCTCTGAAACCAAAACTAACTTTTTTTTCTTAGTTATTTTGGTTATGTTATTTCAATTTCAAGCTTTTTCTTTCTTGTTTAATGAAACTTTGCTTGTTTTTTTTAGACATCCATGTTGCTTAACCTAAAGTTGAAAAAAAAAAGAATGATATATAATAGAATAAATGATCTGTAAATATATATTTTCCTTTTTGAGTTTTTAACTATAGTTTTTATTTTTATTTCCATTTTGCAGTTTTTTTTTTGCTTTACGTTCTTCACTTTTTAAAAGTAAATATAGAATACATCAATTTATTTAACGATATAAAATAATGAAATAATCACATAAACAATCAAAGCCAAATCACAATATTAATTTGACATATAATTTCATTTGCATCATTTTTTTAATTGATGTAAACTTTGTATTAATATCTAAGTAATGTTAATATACTAATATAAATACATCAATTATTAAGTGATGTAAATGTATATATTTGTATCAATATATTGAAAGTGCTGCAATTTGATTTATATTTGCATCAATTTTAATGAACTGATGTCATATAAGTCAATAATGATATTGATTATTGTAAATGATGTTAAATTACAATTTACAATTTTTGTATCGATTATTAATAAGTAATTAAAATTAGTATCTTTTATATTTTTGACACAACTTCATTGATGCATTACATTTTTTTTCTAGCGATGTATATATCGTACATGAATCTTAATTGTTTTATTGAGATTTTTCAAGACCGTCTAAGAATTTTTTTGTTTGTTGTCGAAGGGTTTTCTGGCCGTCGAAGAATCAGAGATTAGTATCTTATATTTTCAGCTTTTGTTATAATACTGTGATTCATAATATGAATGCTTGAAAGATGCATTTATAACAACGTAGCCTACTAAATATAGCAACCTATAATGTCATAATGTTATGGTTATCTATGGTAAAAAGATATGGTGGATAAATTAGCTAGAAAACAGTTCAGCTATATCATGAACATCTGTCAATTCATTACAAATTTTTAATGCAGAGAATCCAAGATTCTGATGATTAATAATTGAATTATGCTTTTAGTTGTAGCGACAACTCATTAGCGCACTATCTTCTCCTCTAACTCTAAGTATACAAAGTTAATCTTATCTTAAAGTTATGTTTACTTAATTAATTCTGTAGCGCACATTAACAGAGAAAACCAAATGCAGTGATATTAAAATAGTTTACGGTCGTATAGATATTTATTGAAAAAAATTTCTAGAATTATATATATAGAAACTATGATAAATTAATTTAAGTGCTGGATTGAAATTTATTTAATATGAAACCAAGTTAATTATGTTAGTTATGTGATTTCATCGTATTAGTCAAGATATGAGTTTTTTTTAGTCAAGATATGAGTTGATTCTTATAAGAGGTATTTGGATAATATGAAATTTTAGTAGTAATTAACTAGAAATTAATTAGGATTTAGTTTAAGAAATACAAATATATATTAAAAAATGTGATCCCCAATGCCACATGGTGGCATGTGAGAGAGTATTAACTATCTCCATTTATGCATCTGGATGTTTAATACTCTAAGAATTGAATTTGCCTGATGAGCATGGGTTGCACAGAAAATATCTAGATTTTTATGTAAATTGGAGAGTTTCGATGCATCCAAACTCATCAAATATCATTATATCATTAGAGCATCTCCAACCCACCTCTATATTTGCTTCTAAACTCTATTTTAGAGGCAAATTTGTTCCAACCCACCTCTATTCCCACCTTTAAAATAGAGATCTCTATTTTTTTCTCTATATATAGAGGTGAGAATAGAGAATCTCTATTTTTTCCTCTATAAATAGAGTTAAATTTTTTAGAGGAAAAAATAGAGGAACACATTGGAGTAAAAATAGAGAAAATTTATCTCTATTATAGAAATAGAGTTAAAAATAGGGAAATACATTGGAGATGGTCTAATATATCTCAACTTTCCAAACTTAAGATAGAAGAAACCCAAATTGACAAAAAAAAAAAAAAAAGCACCAAACTGTGATAAAATAACTTCTTTTGTTGTGAATAATTTATGAGGGTGGAAAGTACCAAAAAAAAGATAATTTATGAGGGTGGTTTTTTTTTAAAGGATTATTTGACGAATTAATGATTAGATTTTTTAATTTATGGGGAAATTGGATATATAGGATATCTACCAAAAAATTTGTCTAAATATACTTTATTTTGGTAGATTGGTCGAATAGGTTTTTTAAAAATCAAAACCCAACTTTACCCTCTTTTTATCTCAAAATTAATTCAAAATTAATTTAAAAAATAAAAATTCCTAATTTATTTACAAAAATTAAATAGAAATCTTTGGACAAAAAAAATACAAAAAACAAAAAAAATATATATACAAAAGTAGAACTAGTGACAATTTTTTTAAATTGCGGGACATAAATTTGATGTTAGAGATGTGTCAACATATAATACTTTCACTATTCCTAAAAGAATGACTTTTTTAATTAATCTTTATCATATAAAAAGTAATTTTCTACCTTTCTAATATAATATTTATCATTTTTATTAGTGAATAGTACATTTCAAAAAGCATTTTGAAAATGTTTAGAGTAAAAGAGTTTTATAGATAATATCAAATATTAATTGGTTTTTAATATGTGTAGAAAGTTTAGAAAATCATTTTTATAGAAAGATAAATAGGTATATTATTGATCATTTTGATAAATTAAAACTCATCTTTTTATAGCGAATCAAAATTGAAGGGTTTTGGTTGTCGTCAAAAGGAAAAACAATAGTTCCTGTCCCCTCAAATCAATCAATTAAATGAATATATATAAGGTTTTTAGTCAAATTAGCTAGAGAAATATACAGAAAGTCAATTACTGCCTTTTTTTTTTTTTTCGCCTGTCAATAAAATACTGCCTTTTTTTTTTTTTTTTTTCGCCTGTCAATAAAATACTGCCTATATACAGTGTAGTATACTAACTACTAGTCAAAATTGTGGACTTTCGTGGACTGTATTTGTTTACAGCTTAAGAAGTTTTTAACATTAATTTTTACAAAAAAATAAATGAATAAATGGCTTATATATTAAGAATTGGTTCTTATATAAGAGTCAAATAACCAGTTTTTAGTATTAGTTTTTAACATTTTTCTATCTACTTCTTTTTAAGAATGTCTCTAAAATCTATGATAATCCGAAAAATTCTATCCGAAACTGAACCCAAAAATTTAGATTTATCCTATTGAATCCTAAACTCATATACCCGAAAACCGGAATCCGAACCCGACCCAAACCCGAACCCAAAAATACCCGAATGTTTTATTCGAAAACCCAAAATTTCACTCAAAATTTAAGTTTTAATTGAAAACCCGAATATTTACCCGAAAAATCGGATATTTACCCGAAAACTCGACAATTTACATGAACATTTATATATCATGCTACAATTTTTATTTAATTTTTTTTTTAACGGGAACGGGTATCATTTGTGTTACTATCTCACTAATGGCATTTATCCTAAATAGACTATATTTATCCAATCTATTTCAATTCCACTAGATATATGGACAAAATTTGCCAGAAATCAAGTTT